CAGGGCCTCAGAGAGGAAATGGAGAAGGCCTGGAAGGTGAAGACCACAGTGGTGCCTGTGGTCATCGGGGCCCTCGGGGCAGTCACCCCCAAACTGGAGCAGTGGCTAAAACAGATCCCAGGAACAACATCAGACATCTCAGTCCAGAAATGTGCAGTTCTAGGCACAGCCAAGATACTGCGCAGAACCCTCAAGCTCCCAGGCCTCTGGTAGAGGACCCGAGCTCAGAGGATGAAAGCTCCCAGGCCTCTGGTAGAGGACCCGAGCTCAGAGGATGAAAGAGACCACCCGCAGAGGGGGAGAAGGGATTTTTTAAAAATATATACACATATATGTATGTATGTAGCAGGAAGAAGCCTGCCTCAATATTCAAAACACCTGGCCCCTAATCACCTCATGATGGGTGGAGAGTATATAGGGAGACTCTCTCACCTGGTTGCTTATGCTAGCATTTGCTCACGCATCGCTGGGAAGGTTGCTTGGGTAGCGTGCAGGTCTTACACTCTAACATCAGTAAGTAATGTTTCTCCTTCTGCATAAGATCTACAAATTCAGTGTTTGACTTGAATTGTTAAAATCTAGAAACCACTGGAAGTCTCCTGCTTGGTACTGGGGTGTGGCTGTAATTCACCCTCCCCAGTGCAGTTTTCACATAAAACGGGTATGTATTGTTTTATTGCACCCATACAGCTCTATAACACCAAAAATAACAATTATTCATATATAGAACATATTGGAAAGCTGATCCTCCTGCTGTGGGCCGGAAAGGATCCTCTGGTTTGAGGTGAAGTCATCCAGCTCTGGTAGGTGACGATGGTTACCTCTGGCTTCCATCTTCTGTAAATCACCTACTAACCTTTTCATCCAATTCCAGCTCTGACACTGCTGCAACTCACTGGAGGCCCTGCTGTTTTGTTTCACTGTTCTTTCGTTTAGTTTATCTTGTTTTATTGGTTGATTTTGTTTCATTTTTGTAACTGTTTTGTTTAATTTGTTTTGTTTAGGGTTTTCTTTGGTTTAAATTTACTTTGGAACATTCTGTTTTGTGTGGCCTCCAGCCTTGCTGCAGGTAGCAGCCTTGGGTTCTTTTAGATTATTCTATTAAAGTATTGATATTTTTAATTGGTTATGTTGGAGGTAACCTCATTTTAGTCTTTGGCCAAGTTTAAATTGTATTTTTTTTGTTTGTTTTTTTTTTGTATTTGCTTGTTTAACCCCACCCTTTTGTCTCCAGGCTGAGAGCTGAAGGTAGTGGGAGGGGCCTCCTGGGAGACTGGAACTGTGTGTCGTGCGAGTGCCCGGTGTTGGGATTTCTTCACGATTGAATGCCTGTTCACAAGTGTTTGGGGTGATTTATTTTGGATTTATACATTTGTTAGGAACCAGTTCCCATTTGGACCGCCCTCCCCCTGCTGGTAGGCCTCAGTACTGTGCACTCCCTTCCTATTGTGGTTATGTTTTGATTGT